AGTTTTCTTTTTAAATACATTCATACAATGAAACAAACAATTAATTCATGGAACAACCATGTTTTTTTCTTTCTAGGTACTGGGATCATACGCGCAAGGTGGATACATCGTACTCCTCAGTGATGGCGGAGAGAATGTTTCTCCATTAATCGGCGATACGTATGACGAGATTGAGAGCTCAGGAGTTATAATTGACACCATCACCATAAGCAACTCAGCTGACCAGCAGCTGGAAGATCTTTCCAACATGACTTCTGGTATCTCGACCTTCTGTTCTGATATAGGAACTGGGACATGTCTCATCCAGGCTTTCCAGAGCACTATAACAGAGAGACCTGGTGTTGGTGTTGGGACTGTTCCCATACAGGTATATATTTTAGCAAGGACTGCCAGTTTTTTTATGCAGAGGAGTGGACGGGGAAGGAAGTGAAAGTGTAGGTTAAAGGGGAAGTCTATCCTGGTAATAATAGAAGCAGGACACATTTGAAGAACGGGTCAGTGAAAGTTTGAGCAAAATCCGATTGATAATAATAAAGTTATGATTTTTTAAAGTTGCGATCAATCAAACACTGGCAACTCCTTGACGTATCTAACAAGCCCCCCTCCCATTGCTTATAACAGAAAATGTCAAAACAATTATTTTCTTAGTTATTGATAACATAATAAATTTGTTTCATACAAGGTTTGTATCCACTCTTATTTATGCAATAATCATATTTAGCAAAATCCGATCAAAACAAGAAAGTTATGAATTTTCGAAGTTAAAAACAAATTGGCAATTCTTTGACGAATTTTGCGAACTCCCCACCCATTTGCTGCTTATTTAAAATTCATATGAATTCAGGATTTTGCTAGAAATTTTACTGACCTTATATCCCCCCCCCCCCCCCCCCATTGTCTTGCTTCCAGTCAAACCAGGGTTAGTAGCTGTATTCTCTTTAGAAGTTGATATAAAAAGTTATACAAAACAAAACAAAGCAAAAGGAACAAAAAAGTAAACCAACGAGCAATACATAACATTTGTGTTCTTTAACAGCTTCGTAATATTTTACATGGGAAAAGACTCATTGAGCCAAGTTATAACAAAGTATAGTTTATTATATACAAAAGCATCTATTCATAAATCAGCCATATATTGAAGTATGGCACATTGTTATGCTTGGATTCGTTCAGGATGCTAAAGAGTTTTTATGTCACCAAACCCAGATAAAATAGAAAGGAAAGAATCACTACTCGATAGGATTGTGTGACTTATAGTTGTCATTTATTGTTTCATTGACTGCAGGATATTATTAATTTGTTGTTTGTTGTTTGTTTGTTTGATTGTTATTCTTGCATTCACAATAATCATTTGGGAGCGTGCATATCATACATAAAGTACTTTTTTAATTAGTTTAGTGCTTTTTTATAATTATTACCTCACTATGAAAGAAAAGCTTGCATCGAATAAGTTTATTATTCAATCGTAATGTACTACATAAACTGAAACATGTTGATAACCTGACAAAAAAATCCGACTTCTCGTTTTGATAGTCCACATTCATCCAGAATTAATGATATATTCGAAATTTTCATCAAAGATCTACAGTTCCGAGATCGTCATCGAAAGATATCCTGGTCTTGAGGTCGTCCCGGTAATCATCGATGCCGCATTGGGTAACGAGACGGTGATCACTGTGATATGGACGACGAGTTCGTCGATATCGGTCGTAGTCACTGGACCAGACGATACTCGAATTGATGAATATGATCAACGTTATAATATTGATCCCAGCACGAAGATTGTAACGATCAACCTACCGATAGCGCAGGTGAACTTTTTGTTTAATGTCGTTTGATTTTGGTACTCACCAGTTATTATTCGAAAATCTTTCCACTATTGCAGTAAAGATGGAAGTAGAGGTACTATGGATTGAATATCGCCTCTTGTCATTCAATCTCACGAGAAATGGTTTGAACAGCACAATCTAATGTTTGAAGAAAAAGTGACGTTTCAAGAGGATTCTGTATCCTTGCGTTGCTCATTTTTTTCTTTTAATTTCTTGAATGTTTTACTGACCAGAATAACTTTGGGTCATTTTGCGTCGTGTCATCAATCTGCTAGACAAGCTCTACGCTGAAAATGTTCAATTCGTTTCCATTATTATATTTTCGATGTTCATTGTGTTCCCTTGGTAGGTAGAATTTAAGGTTGGATGTCTTAGACCATCCTTCGAAAATCGATTTTAATGTATCCATATTCATTTCTAAAGCCTGGTAGATGGAATGTTACAATACACAACACCCAAGTAGCTATCGAGAATGCTAGTGTAGCAGTAACATCTAAACCAAGCACGGAGGAATACAAGCCAGTCACAGTCACTGTTCTACTAGGATCACGAGTAAGTTTACAAGGATTTGTCACAAATATATTCTTACAATAAAATGATCGCAACATCTTTCAATAAATCAACTCAAGGGCAGTTTCTGCCCCCGTTTGTATTCCCTACAGACATCATAATTGGATTACGTAACTTTCATAATGTGCAAGTATGATCGACAGCGCTATTGAAATTACCTTAACTTGGTTTATTTAAGTCTTTGCCGTCGTGTTATAATTAAAACAGGAACACAATTTATGCATAAATGTACATGTTAATTAAGTCTACCCATTCACAATTGGTAATGTAAGGATTCTACGTACACATCCTCTCCTTGCAATTAGAAATGCTCTTTGTTTTTATAACATGTCTTTTTATCAACCATTAGTTAGGATAATGTTATTGTCGTTTTTACAATGAAGACATAGAACTATAAGTGTGAAGAGTTCGTATATTGTCTAATACATTTATAGTGATTTGATCTCTTCGAATTTCTTATTAAAGCATATTCATGTATACAAACAATACCATTAATGATAAAGAAAACTTTCATCAGTTAGGGATAATGATAACATGTAGTTTTTAAGCTGGTAGAATTTTAAAAACTACATAAAATCATTAATATTTTGATATTTCTCTTTTAGTTTTCTAAAAATATCATATTGGTTTTAATATTTGCCCCACTTTCTCAAACAAGTTCTCAAACATTTGTTTGATCGTGTTATTTCAAGCGATCTCCCTTTTCTTCATCATGTGATTTAAAAAAAAAATTATTTAATGATGATGATTGGTTTGGCAGGAGGTGGACTTTTCTCAGACTCCAGCACTAGCTATCTATACTCAGGTTCAACAAGATTACCAACCTGTTCTCAATGCTGACGTCACAGCTATCATTTCAGACGCCTCTTCCTCCACGACAACGATGACACTGCTTGATAACGGATCAGGTGAAACCTCGTATCTCCTTTCTCATTATTGTGTCATTAATATAATTAATAAATTAACTCACTAACTCACTTAACTCACTATATTGAATTCACATTCCAATCACACATTAATGCTCTTTGGAACTCATTTTGTACGAGGTGGGTACAGGCGGGAAATTGACTTGATTCCAGATATTTATTTCTTCCACTTTTTTGTGCTTAAAAATTTCATTTTATATACCTCTCAGCAATCTGAGAAAAGCGAATGGATGGTGTATTCAGAGTTAATGAAAAGATAATTTAGTTAATTCTTTCACCCATATATTTAAACAAACAAAAAGCAAAGCTAAAATATCTGATCGTACTAAATGGACGGAATTGTGCCTATTATAATCCCACTCATTTTTTTCTTCTGTTTTCTTCTTATTTTCGTACTTGGAGCGTAACGAGACATTGTCATGTATAGCATACTGAAGTTAGTATACACTGCTTTATTAAAGCTTAATATATCTTTTCAGTGGCAGATCGAGAGGGGCGCAGAAAAACAAGCCCCTATTCTTGGGCGCCATAAGAATTATATCGATTTCTCTTATAATTTATTCACTTTCTTTTTCTTCTCCTTCTTTTTCCTTTTTCTGCTCCTTCTTTTCCTATTCTTTTCCCTTCTTCTTCTTTTTCTTCTTCTTCTTTTCCGTTTTCTTTCTCTTTTCCTTCTTCTTTCTCTTCTTCCCCTCCCGCTTCTTCTTTTTTTTTTCTTCTTCTTTTTCTTTTTCTTCTTCTTTTTCTTTTTCTTCTTCTTTTTCTTTTTCGTCTTCTTCATCTTCTTCTCCTTCTACTCTATGCATCCAACAGGCTCAGACTTATTCAAAGACGATGGAACGTATTCAGGGTTCTTTCTAAACTTCGCTTCTGATGGCAGATATAACGTCAAGGTCAATGTCCTCGGCTATGACGACGTAATCGAAGTCGCAGAGAACGGTAGAAGTGAGTCTAATACTCTAATGCATAAAATATGTTTTACTCTTAAAGAAAGGAAATCAAATAAACCTAAATAAAATAAGAATATTAAATTATTTGGGGGGCCATATGAAAAGGAGACGTAGATTTAACACATGGCAAATGTAATATAAATAGACCAAGGAATTCCTAACTTTACACAAATATTTGTTTAGGAAGTAATAATTTACAATTCCTTATCATTTGTATATAAGAATATGCCTCTGTGGCTTTTATGATGCTAGATCCCCCGATTTTCTAAACGAATGTTTCATGTTCGGCCTTCTATCAATCTAGTATAGATTTGCGTAATATTTATTTTTAAAAATACCCTTCTCCGAGTGGGCTCTTTGATATATTAGCAAAAAAATGCATTCTATTTTCAGAGAGTGTAACCTTTTATTACTTCATGTCATTCCAAAGAAAAATAAATTATTTTTCTCTCCTTTCTTCAATAAATGTATCATGACTTAATATTAATATGAACATTAATACGACAGAAGATTTCATTTTAGAAAGCTACTTTGTTGCCATCTGGCTCGAAGATTACAAACTATTGATAACTGCATATATATATTCATTTAGTTTTGGTGGCACAACAGATGATGAAAAGAAGTATTGCCGTTAGAGTGGAGAGAAATTATTGAAAGAAATAATATCATTTATATTAATTTGTGTATGCTAATATCCTCCTTCATAAATGTTAATCCAGGCAAACGATCGGTCCCAGTTGAGATGGACACCGTAGTGGAGCCATCTTTCATGCGTACAGCATCGGGAGGAGTCTTCAAAGTCCAGAGCTATACTCCCAACGCTCCTGATACCCTACCACCTTCTCGTATCCAGGACCTGGTCTATACATCTTTCTCCTATGATAACAGCACGGTGACCCTCAGCTGGACTGCTGTAGGTGATGACATGGACCAAGGAACAGGTAAACTTATCTCCACCATCTTTAAAATGTAACATTCCTTGCCCGATCCCATTTTTAGTAATTTACATGTCAATTTAAACCATCACATTCAAACATGACTTTGGCAATTAAGGTGGAAAGGTGCACAGAAGAAAATATGCTTTGAAATCTACTTTAGATTTAGCCACACAGCAGCATACCCAGTGCATTAACTATTATCTCATCTCATCTTTAAAACTACTTTCCAGGATAAAAAATAAAAAAACATGTGGTGATACATTCTAATTTTCATTATACCTAAATGTGCTCATAGTCATGATTATTTAGCATTTTTTAAACTATGTTTTCCTGCATTTATTTTAATTACTTCCCCAAAGCCTACAGTTACGAACTCCGCTATTCCACCAACTTCTCTGAGGTACGGGACAACTTCAACGAAAGTACCAGGGTCACTCAGGATCAACTGGTATATGGGAACCTATCCCATATCAATCCACCAGGAGTTATTGAGAGTGTCACTATCACACTCCCAGAGAAGGGGGAAGATATCGTCTATTACTTTGCTATTCGGGCTTGGGATGAGGCTGGGAACGGAGGACAGTTGTCCAACATTGCTTCCTTGTCGATTCGTTTCATACCATTAGCTGTAACTACCACAATAGACCCTACCATGCTTGCTACTGATGCAGTGACAGAACTGATTACCAACCCTGAGACCACAGAAGCCAAGGAACCTACACCATCGGAACGATCTGAAACAACGCTTCAACAGAACCCTGAGACCACCGAAACCGAGGAACCAACTGGACAAGAAGACCAGGCCTTAATCATTGGTTTGTCTTGCGCACTAGGCGCAGTAAGCATCGTGGCAGGTGTCAGTTTAATGTACATCTACTATCTGAAGCACAGTCTCACCCAGGTGAAGCCTACCACACCGCCTGAATCAGCATGGACACAGCAAGATCTTCCTGATACAGAGATGGTACAGAATCCTGCCTATGATAATCCTACTCTATCTACATCTTGATTTACAGGTGTTACCTGTCCTGTAGGACGCATCGGATTGCTTTTAAAGCAAACATTATTTTTTCTTCATCTTTATGTAACAGGGAATTGTAATAGGGAAAGACCAGGTTAATGGAAGTTCTCTAGAATCTATCGCTGTAACTCACGAACAGTTTAGGTGTCGTGTAGCATATCAACTTTTTAATCAGTATTGAAAATATTTAATTCCACGCAAAGAAAAGTTTACGTTTTTTGATTACCTTGGTTTTGAGAATTGTGTATTGAGGACGCCTCGCACCCTCCTCCAAAACGGTAAATAAGCAAAATGACAAAATAAAGCATCTACCGGTAACTGTTTATGCATGATTAAGCAGAAAAATAAAGAATATATTATATGAAAAAAAAACTAAACAGAACATATAATCGACTACTACAAATTATTCAGTAACTTAGTAAATGATTTCGCTTTAGTGTTTTTTTTTTCAATCATCTTCGTGTAAAATAACTATTATGACATGGAATAAATCAATGTGGTCCAATACTAGATTATCTGGTCAATGTGACAATCAACGTTCAAATTTTTTGAATTTTACTTCTAGAGAATTCAAGAAATGAGAAGATGTGGTTTTGTTGATAGCTACAGAGTATCGATCACGTAGTCATCGAGATATAGTATATCCCTATAAACTGCTCTGTACCAAGGTGCAGTGGTGGAGAGCTCCATGAATAACTTTTGTTTCCCTTTTGAAAGAAAACAAATCCACATATTATAGATGCACTTTCATGAAATTTTTCGGGCTTCTTGTCATGGCTAGGGGCGCTCGGTCGCATGTTTCAGGACGGTGGTGCCATGCAGTCTTTCATCGTTGCAATAGTGGGGCTTGTCTGATGTAGAGTTACTATTGTGCTGGTGGGTGGATGTGTGGCATCGTTGTCCCGGGGCGGGTGATTGGGTGCCCTTGGTACTGACGGGGAGTCTTAACTCATTTGACTTCACAATTTGGTACATTCGAGCTTAAAGGTAATACAAAGTTTTGGGAAATTTTGAAAATTGGCTGGATAGTGATTCTGGACAATTTTGATATATTTGGATGCCCCTGTTGATGTATTATAAGCACTGAGAAAATTTAGCCCCTAAAACACTTCTGCTTTCGAGATAAATTGAATATAAACATTTATCGGTGCTCCCTGTAAATTTTGATAAATTTCAAATAGCGCCTACGGCCATACAATGATAGCTGCGACCATGAAAATCTCAGAATATGTAGTTGTGATATATAATTTCCGAACGGGAATAGCCAATCAGTCGATTTTAGTCAAGAAACATTGTTTTATAGCTAATTTAATATATTGACCTTGAGAGGGAGCTATACAACATAAACAGTTTATTATTACAATTTCATCACTTTATACTCGATTTCAACCGCGCCAACGATCACTGAATATTGTAGGATCGCATATGCTTCCAATATGTTTATTTGAACCAAATTCATGACCCCATACCAAAACTTTGTATTACCTTTAATCTGGTCATGCACACACTATAATTCCGATCTGGATTATTGTACATCATCGTTGAGGTGTTGCCAACTTGAGATGTGCTTTCCAAATCATTTGCAGTGTCAATAACAATGTAATTGTATAGCCCAATAATCAAACGATAATATGTGTCTTTGGTACTGTTTTTTCCATTTTTTTTCCACGAACATCAGAAATACAATACTGAAAATATGTTTGTCTTCTATTAACTCAACAGTTCAACAAATATGTGTATCTTGAGTAGTCAGTTTTATTTCAAATATAGATGTACATCATTTTGAATATATGTTTTTTGAATTGTTACAAATGAAAATCAATAAGATCCCTGGGGAGTGAAAAATATGGAGAACAAAAATTAATAATCCCGTAAATGGTGATGGACCAGCATCATGGTCAAAAGTAAAGCCAGAATTCTGTTACTGAACTACTATCTTAATGATTCCCCACAAACCATGTTTTGTCGCATTTGTTGCAACATTTAGGATAATTATTCAATATGTTTTCGTTTTGATAGTTAAGTTTTCCTTCAGTTATTTCAAATTCCTTTTCTGAGGCCTCCATCGTGTTCAAGCTTCAGCTTAAGATGGCGGTCTTCTGCATTTTCAATTTTGAAATGATTTGTCAGCTATGTTTTTGTTCTTTTGTATAAATACTCAATTGATTTATATTTTGATATGTTAATATATGTATTTTGAATTTTGTTTAGATTTTTATTATGTTGAACAATGCATAAATAAAATCAAACAGACAAACAAACAATTATATCATAATATTTAACCAAAAAGTTTTTTCCTAATTTAACCATCAATCTCTCTCAGTTTCCTTTGTCACATATGCTCAGAAAAGGGCTACAGCCCTGTACACTCGATTAATTATCTTTTATGTGTACATATAGCTTTTTGCCAATTCATTTTGAAATGTTTTATATGAATTCATTTCCAAAAATTTAGTCATCACGTATTATTTGTCAGATTCATGAGTCACACAATATTCAGAAAAAGTTACAACGCTGTATACTCAGTTGTTTTCTATTACATATTTTCTAGGTTTTCCCTAGTTCATGTTTTAAAACGTATCATAATTTAAAGGAATAAAACATTTCAACATTATTTTCGTTATTACTATCATTGTTATCATTGATGTTGTTGAATTTATTGTTATTATCGTTGTTGGTTTGTTGATGTTGTTGTTGTTGTGTTGGATACATGAGGGGGCCGATCCAAGATTCTTGTCAAGAAAAGAACGGTGAAAGTTGGCCAGGGAGTATACGATTTTGGGAATCCCGTCAGCCCTTCCCAAACTCCGAAAAGGGTGGTGGGACTGCCGGTCCTTTTTAACATGTTTTTTTTGTGTGTGTGTCTGAATAGCGGTGCGTTTATTGGGTCTTGCCACTAGATATGTACATATCGTACCCCACTATCATACCCACTATCGAACCCCACTATATGATCGTGATTTGCGGGATGTCGCGTTTATCGTCTCTTCACGATTCACAATAAAGGCCTTGTCTCTGCACAGCTGCTCTGCGCCGTTTGACCCGGGAAGCAGACAGTTTCTCGGAGGTCAACTTCACACACATGCTTGTACAACAACATGACACAACACATGGCGCGCTAACCTCCGAACCGGAAATTAACCTTGGAGGTCCGATTTGTATGTGGGGTTCAAAACAGCTTTGCGTTTATCATCTCTCAGAAACGTGATTCTGGCTGTATGTCACATTCGAAACACACCTTTTTGCGTCTTTAGATATGCCCATATCTAAAGACCTTTTAAAAAGGCTTTGCGTTTATCACCTTCTAAATTTGCCTGAAAGACGTTTGAGAAACCTGGTTCTAGCCAGAAATTTGTTCAATAAACGCACCCTAGGAGCCGCGTCTGTTTGTCAGAAACTATAGTAATCGGTTGTTCGCCTATTACTATTCTATGTACACAAAGGGTGCGTTTATTGACCAAATGTTTGCCTATCAGGCTCTTACCTCCCCTCTCTCTCCTCTCTTTCATCCCCCGTTTCTTTTGTTTCCCTTTTAACTCTTTTTTTCTTCTTTTTTTTCCTTTTCTTTCTTTTCTTTCTTTTCCTTTCTTTCCTCTCCTCCCTCTTTTCCTTTTCTCTCTCTCTCTTTCTTCTCTTTTCTTTCCTTTCTTTTCCTTTTCTTTTTTTCTTTTCTTTCCCTTGCCCTCTCTTTTTTCCCTCCCCCTTTTCTCTTTTTTCCCGACGGCAGCGCAATTTTACCGACAAAATCCTGACAGGTGGAGGGGTGTCGCCCCCCCCCCCCACACACCCCCTTTGGCGACGCCCCTGCCTCCCATGTCCCAATCAGGAGGAAAGCTTCACCGTTCATGTCACTGCGCATAACCAAGAAAACACACACTTATACACGCACGTACACACTTGTACAAATACAAGCACCCATGCGCACAAAATACACATGACGACCACAATGCATCATACTCATAAATGACTATGCGCAGTGGCACTGCTAATTGACACCTATCCCCTGAACTGTCTATAGGAATGCAAATCATATCTAAACCAATTACAAAACAGCAACCATAAACAGCAGCACTCCCTAACAAGTCTATCTTTCCATTGCCGTCTCCCTGGCGGTATCACATCTCTGCCAATTAAATGCTTAAATGCAGACAAAGATAAGTAATATAGGATTTCCTGGCCAAATTCGCGTGTTTGTCATTCGAATTCATTTACTTTGCATTTAAGTTAGCGCAGATCGGCTTTGCCATGCCAATATCATTCGATTTTCCAGTTTTTGTATTTAATTTAGGATTTTGGTCGAAGGGTTTCATAGATCTGTCATTCAATTTAGAAACTGCCCAACTAGCATTCAAATATATATTCACTTGTCGAAGCGTAATTTTTATCATTCAAATTAACACCTGTCATTCGTATTCGTAATATTTTTATTCAAATTAGGAATGTTAGGGGGAAGAATTGCAACAAACTTTTACAGTTATTAAATGATGCAGTTAAAATGCATGATTTGCCATTGGGTTCTAAGCTGTTATTCCATTTATTTATTTTCAGGACAATGCATATGGGTGTAGTCCATGGGTGTCGATCCTTACGTAATACCTATTCATCAGGGGGATGAATGAATAGATCATCCCCCCCCCCCCTGATGAATAGGTATCAGTTACAGATCGACACCCATGGTGTAGTCAGACATAAAGTAAAGAAGGGGGCGAAATCAAGGGATATGGCATTTCTGCACGGACATGTTGAAGAAAGGTGGGGGTACCCTCAATCGCCCCCTTTTACTACAGACTCGGAATTTTACAAAAGTAATTCACATCGTCTCTTATAGCCAGCACACCCATCTGTTTTTCTTAAAGAGATATATAGTTTACTTGCCCGCCAGCAGATCGATGGCTAAAGACATAGCTAAATAATGAATCATGTTCAAATTGTTGACTCTAGTCCCTACCCCAGTCACAATATTGTACCCTTCTTCCATAATGAAATTATGATAAATTTATGATGAAAGATAAGACAAACAACTTCCTTGCATGAACATTTACAAATATACTGAGACCATCAGGTCCGTAGACCTTCTTAACAATCAAACTTAAATACCGATGAATATCAGATAAATCTAATAAGTATAAGTGTATAAATGCAAGAAAATGAAATATGATGAAATACACATGAAAAAACAATCTTGAAAGAAAAGGAATGAGCTATAAAAAGTGTGTAATAAACGAGAAATGTATATTGACCATCAATTGAAGTGCACAAAGTGTTAATTTGAAAGCTACAAATGAATTAGAATGCTAAAAGTACACCGTCGCGTTGCCAGAAAATCGTGTTGCGCCAAATCGAATCACCAAATAGCGAAAGAAGCACATTGTTCATTAATTTGAATGAAACATACGTAGATACTAACGAAAATTTCATAGATTTGAAAACTAGAAAAGGGAATATAAACCCGAGATATACCTGACTGCACTAAAACCGTCGAATTTGAACGCAAGACAAATTAATTTGTATGACAAACTCGCGAATTTGGCCGGGAAATCCTATACAATCATTACATTCTTCATCATGATAATGATGATCGAATTGCCATCAAATGGATTTGTTATACATCCTAATTAATTCATTTCAGAAACATTACCATTTAAGTCAGAATGTGATGATAAACTTAACTGGATTAGGATTAATAACGAAAAACATTGATTTTAAGGAAGTTAAAGTAATACACCTTATGAAAGCAAATAAACAAGGAGAAGTGCCACATTAAAGAGCACAGCACCCAATCATGTGCAGAATAGATGATTGCTGGAGTTATACATACAATTTTTCGTTCAATTTGCAAATTATGGTTAACAAAAACTAATACATCTATATCACATACTTCTTAAATGTCTTGGGAGATAAAAAGCCGAACATTCGATGTGTCGATAACAAAGGCTGTTTGGACTGTTTCTAGGGTGACAAGCGTCGATTAATTATACCCATACCCGGATATTATGATGTCTTCTATTTGTTTTTTGTAAATTGTTGAAGAGGATTCTTGTAATTTATTATGGTTAACAAAAAGGAATACATCTCTTCACATATTTCTTTGCATGTCTGGGGTGATAAAGGCCCAACATTCGATGTGTCGATAACAAAGGCTGTTAGGACTGTTTCCAGGGTGACACGCGTCGATTAATTACACCAATACCCGAATATTATGACGTCTTCTATTTGTTTTTATAAATTGTTGACCAGTATCCTTGTCATTTATTATGGTTAACAAAAAAGGAATACATCTCTTCACATACTTCTTTTCACGTCTGGGGAGATAAAAGTCCGACATTCGATGTGTCGATAACACAGGCTGTTTGGACTGTTTCCACGGTGACAATCGTCGATAAATCATACCAATACACGGATATTATGATGTCTTCTATTTATTTTTTGTAAATTGTTGAAGAGGATTCTTGTCATTTCGGTATATCATTCTCATCTCAAAGTCCATAGATCTAAATTCGACTGACAAATTTAGCTCTTGGCGATCAACCAGCCATCTTTGGAACCTTTCGTTGGCACTTTCTTATGACTGGTTAATGCGTGTAAGGAAAAAAGTTTTGCTTGGTCACATGACTTCGCTCGACTAATCATTTGATCACGATCCACGTCATCATAATATGATATAACATATAGTAAGCAAATAATTACCGTTGGTGAAGGTGAAGGGACAAACTATCACTTTCGAGGCGATCTGGATAGCGTCATCCAGATCGCCGAGGAAGTGAGAGTTTGCCATCGCCTGAAACCAAGACGTGATTATTTGCTTTATATTCCACATCGGAAACATTTCACTTCTTCTGTCATTTTAGATCAACAGGTCATCAATTAACAGCTAGCAAACGGTGTAAGATACGTACAGTGCATGCAGTACTTACGTACGTACGTATACGCAACGTATACAATCTTCAGTGAAAGTGAGTTGAACTGTGTAAATATTGGTACTACTTGTACTATCTACTGGGTATGAGAGACGATGTGAATTACTTTTGTAAAATTACTGTAGTAAAAGGGGGCGATTGAGGGTACCCCCACCTTTCCCGGATATATGAACATGTCCGTGCAGAAATACCATATATCCCTTGCTTTCGCCCTTTCTTTACTTTATGTCTGACTACACCCATCTGCATTTTCCTGAAAATAAATAAATGGAATAACAGCTTAGACCCCAATGACAAATCATGCATTTTAACTGCATTATTTAGAAACTGTAAAAGTTTGTTGCAATTCTTCCCCCTAACATTCCTAACTTAAATAAAAAATATTACGAATACGAATGACAGGTGTTAATTTGAATGATAAATATTACGCTTCGACAAGTGAATATTAATTTGAATGCTAGTTGAGCAGTTTCTAAATTGAATGACAGATCTATGAAACCCTTCGACCAAAATCCTAAATTAAATACAAAAACTGGAAAATTGAATGATAATTGGCATGGCAAAGCCGACTTGCGCTAACTTAAATGCAAAGTAAATGAATTCGAATGACAAACACGCAAATTTGGCCGGGAAATCCTATATATATATGAAGAGACCTTAGAACCCACCTATTCTTCGTCTTATGGTATTATCATAATTGGTGAATTAACTTTTAATTATGAAATCTCTTTCTCTGTATGTCTGTGTGCTTTATTCAGCGCACTACAATATGGAATTCTTCCTCTTCTTCTTCTTTTTCTTTCTTCTTCTTCTTTTCTCCTTTTTCCTCTTCTTCCTCCTCCTCTTCTTCTTCTTCTTATTATTATTCCCTTCTTCTCCATAGTCCGTTTAGAACTGCGCATTCAAAATCATCGCCCCTTGTGTCATTGTGGATGTGTGTAACTGTGGCAACTATCAAACACGAACTTAGTTCGCTTTTAATGAATAGCATGTTTGACTTTTAGAATTTTCAAATAATCAAATCACATTTGTTATCATAATGATTATAATGATAATAATGATAATATGTAAAGATTTATAAGGCGCCGAATCCACTTGATGATCGATTGCTCAAGGCGTAGCTTGTGCAAAAGATGAAGTGCATGACAAATATAGACAAACGTGCAATAGGAGAAGTACGGACATGAAAAGTAATGGTAATCAATTATTATAGGCCAAATTAAACACTTCACCAGAAATGCAAACCCTTGAGGGAGAGTATTCCATATCGACGTCCCAAGTGAGATCCAAGGCCATGAAGGCATCAGAAAGCTTAAAAGGGAAGAAGATATTTATTCGCTCTTCATTGCAGGAGTTGTTACTATAGAAGACTAGAAGTAAGATGGCAAATAAAAAGATTATTGCTGTGATTCTGCTCCTGGAAATATTTCTTGTAGGAGTAGTAACGGGCCAGCAAAATATCATCAATTTGAAAAATGGAGCTTATTCGAATCTACTCATCGCAATCGACAAGACTGTGACTGAAGATCTCAGCATCATTGACAACATCAAAGTAATGTGAATTTGTTTTAAGCTTTTAACTTTACAGATTAGTGTCTGATTTCTATGTACTGACATTAATAAAGAGTGTTGGTTGAGAAATTATCATATAAATATTTATATATTTTAATAAGTTATTAACATATAGCTAACTTGTGATTTAGATTAAAATTTGTTCTTAAATTTTTATGTATATTTATTTGTATATTCATTGTCACAAACAAATATTTTATTTCATGGTTGTTTTTCCTGTTTGTTTTAATTTCATTTGAGGGTGCATTCGCTGTCGAAATTTTATGTTAAACAGAAGTTGGAGCAGTGGATGTAACTAAATACAGTTTTATTATCTTGTAAAAATATGTTTTTACTTGAAATATAATGTTCCTGTGAGCAGGCCCGGATGCAAGGGTCCGCCCCTGTTTAAAAAAGGGAAAGGAAAGAAATGGAAAGGAAAAGGGAAGAAAGAAGGGCTAAAAGCACGGATTAGAAGTGGACCCAGGGCACTCATATATTCGTATAGGCCGATTCGTATAGGCCCTGGTCCAGGCCATGCTCCGAGATTTGGGACGTTTTGAGGTCAGAACTAGCCCTATTTCGTGTTTTAGGCCCATATGATTCAAACAAAAGGCAGATGATCGTTCTACGCTAAGCCGTACAAGTTACAACGTTTAAAAGTATGTCAGGACTCCGATAGCTTCAAGTCCATCCGTCAAATCATCCAGCCGGCCGTCACACAATGGTGTTTGACGAGGTTGAATTAAACTAAAGCCCGACACGAGTCATTGCTGTTGGCCCATCCCAACAGCTGTACTAGTCTTGTTCTGTCTGATTTTGACAATCAAGTGATACCTGATTACTAGGAATGGCATACCAGAATCTGACACCCTTCTCATAGCCACCGGGTCCTTTCTTGAGCTATAGAGGGTTTTCATGTGACATGAATCGTCGAACTGGGTAGGCTTGTTTAAATCGAATGAAACAAGTTATGCAGTGCGTCCCAGAAAAAAAACGTAACCGAGAATTATCGATGCTTTATCATAGCTGAATCACAATTATGATTAATAAATGACACATATTTGTAAAGCTTAAATCCGCTTCTTTCATTTGATGCAATTCATATGATGCATATTTAACGCATGAGTGCTTGAAAACAGTTTGAAGAGAGGGAACCAAAAATTCATTTGTCAGGCGGTATGTGAACTTCAAAGAAAATGTCACATTTCTAGAAAGTTTTTTTTTTAACAATGGGGCCGCGCATATACAATAAAAAAAAAAGGTTATCATAAAAACAAAACCATATACCATATAAAGAATAAAGAAATAGTACACTGTTGGTCATAATGGTGGAATATTTATTTTTACCCCAGTTTAGGGAAGGATTTTAAAAAAATTATTTATTTCTAATAGATCTAGATAATGGCATACATTCTCAGATTTTATTGAATATTAATTTACGAGTGTTTGTTTTGCGTGACTGCTTAATCATAGGTGTGCTACTATGCTAATCAGCTAAGGGACCTACGTCCTTAAGTCATAATTGACAGTAATGAGGATTAATGCCTCACAAAAGGGCACTAATATATAGCTGATCGACACGATTTTTATCCTGGGGCCTCACAGTAACGAGGCCATTGCTTAGCCCCTGAATCATGACTGTACGCAGTGTTTGCTAGGGTACGCGGCCCCTTCCACAAATCCCCGAAAACGAAGAAAATGCAATAAATTGTCAAAAATTCATTGCATTTTCCCCCGGCCCCCAACAGGAAAAATTTCTCTGTAGGGCCATGCCTAATGGTTTAAGGCATGGCCACACAGAGGAATTTTTCCTGTTGGGGGCCGGGATGCAATGAATTTTTGACAATTTATTGCATTTTCTTCGTTTAGGGGGATTTGTGGGGGCGGCCGCGTACTCTAGCAAACACTGCGTACAGTCATGATTCAGGGGCTAAGCAATGGCCTCGTTACTGTGAGGCCCCAGGATAAAAATCGTGTCGATCAGCTATATTAGTGCCCTTTTGTGAGGCATAAATCCTCATTACTGTCAATTATGATTTAAGGACGTAGGTTCCCTAGCTGATTAGCATAGTAGCACACCTATGATTAAGCAGTCACGCAAAACAAACACTCGCAAATTAATATTCAATAAAATCTGAGAATGTATGCCATTATCTAGATCTATTAGAAATAAATAATTTTTTTAAATCCTTCCCTAAACTGGGGTAAAAATAAATATTCCACCATTATGACTAACAGTCTAGAATAACTGATGTCACACCGAGTAGAGATAAATAATATGAAATTCGTGCTCATGTATACGTTAAATATAAAGTTTGTTATAAGTTGGCTTAAAAAACATGTTGTAAAGAAATATCAAAGGATTTTAACTATGAAATAGATATGATAAAATATGCTGAAATATGATTTAAATATGATATAATATAATAATATATAGTGATAATATAGTTAACATAGTTAAATGTATTTTAGTTTTTTTTTAAATAGGATATAAATAAAATACGGGTTTACTAGTTATTATTGAAATTGGTCTATAATTACATGCTTCTTTTATTCCACCTTTATGCTATGCAACTACACGAGCAACTTTCCAGTTATCCGGAACAATCCCAGAAGTTATAGACAAATTTATTATTTTCGTTATAAAAGGTATTGCAAGTTCATCAACGCTGATATAATTTCGTTTAATATAATCATTACTTTAAACAAACAGAACTTTGTTATTCCTGGCTCATTTTTCCTGATTGAGTTGTCATATGAAAGGGCAGAAAATAAACTTTTTTTAGAAATGTGATTTTCTCTTTGAAATTCAGATACCGTTCGCCAAATTACTTTTTGGTACCCTTTTTTCAAATTGTTTTTAATCATTCATGCGTTAAATATGCATCATATGAGTTGCATCAAATGAAAGGAAAGGATCTAAGCTTTACAAATACATGTCATTTATTAATTCTAATTGTGATTATTTTTTAATAAAACATCGATAATTCTTGGTTTGGTTTTTCCTGGGAAGCACCGTATAACAAAAGTTGATCGAGAAGGCATATAGCTATTTCTCACCATTGCAATTTGCCAATATATGTCGTCATGAGTCCAGTGTTCCAGGGACTATGGTGATGGCCAAGGTTCAAACGGAGTATGGTCACACACATAGAAACAGGGGCGTAAATCCCGGGGGATGGGGGGAGGGGGCTGCATCCCCCCTGGCTTGAAGTAGGGGGATGGCCTGTATAATCATCCCCCCCCCTGATATTGCAAAAAAAAGAGAGGAAAAAAAAGGAAGAAGAAGAAGAAGAAGAAGAAGAAGAAGAAGAAGAAGAAGAAGAAGAAAAAAATGTGATTGTTTCAATTTTTGCATAATACATGAGAAATGAGTTATTTTTTTAATGTAAGTATAACTGTATAGCCTGCACGGATATAGTATGTCACGATCATTAAGAGTAGTTGCGCGACGTGCGCGAACAAGCACTTCATAAACTTTAGAATAATTTTTCGTTATTTTGCAAGGTATTATCATAGCCCAGACGTAAAGTGCGCCAGCGCGCGAGCGCTTAAAAAGTGCAATCATGTACAGTAGATGCCCGGCTCCCCCCACTTAGTATTATTTAGGGTACGCGTACGCTCGTTCCCGCCCTTTAAAAGCACCCCCCCCCCCCCACCCTATCTCAGGACTGCCAACATTTCTGAATCCCCCTTTCGCCGGCTTTACGCTGGCTTTTCCTACCTTGGAGACCCCCCCCCAAAAAAAAAAAAAATCCGGAACACTGCTAAATGTACAACCCCCCCCCCCCCCCCCCTTCAGGTGAGCTCTAGTCGACCGAGGGGGACTGGGGGCCAATGCTTTTACTTTTCAAAATTAAATAATCCTGAATGAGAGCTTTCAAAGCTAGCAGGAATTTTAGGAATTTGATCCCGGGATTTGATCAATTTTTCTATGATATTTTATAACCTCCTTTTTACATTTCTCAGGAGTCCAAAGAGAGAGAGAAAAAAAACCACCCCCTTTTAAAAGAAATTAAGAGTCGAGAATGGTACAACGAATCGTCTTCTTTCTCTAATGATTTAATGAAACGTAAAAGCTTCCGCGCTTCGCAGGAGGGGGGAAGGGAAAAACTGAATTCAGATGAGGATTAAAAGCCGAGAACGGCTCTCAGTAGTCGTTGTCAGGCTATTCCACAATAATTGAAGTGTATTATTGTGTTATTTGTGTGTATTGGGAGTCAAGAGGGATGACAGACGAAATAATATGTGAGATTATAGGACAGACTGAGCATAACGGGCGCACCATGATATAAGTCAGCTAGCCTACAATTGTGCAGAGGATCAAGGCCTGTTCTTCCTCCACCATATCGAGCAAATATGATTCTGGCATCCAGCTTTATTTTGGAGAGCGCCAAAATCAAAGGCAACCCTCTCGGGGGCAGGGGAGCAGTACTCAAAATGTGCCCCTTTTTACATGCGAAAAGTGCCCCTTTATCTTTGACAAGTGCCCCTATTAGTTTGTAAAGGTGCCCCTACCCCTTTTCACCTCTTATAAGTGTCCCTTTTATTTTGACAAGTGCCCCTTTTCCTTCGACAAGTTCCCATGTTCCTTTGCAATAAGTGCCCCTTTTCACTTTTGATAAGTGCCCCCTTCAACTCTGATAATTTACCTCATTCAAATCTGAGATGTGCCTCTTTTATTTTGACAAGTGCCCCTTTTCCTTTGTATGAAATGCCCCTTCCCCTGTTGATAACTACCCCCTTTTTAAATCGGATACGCGCACCTTATATTATTATATGTTCCCTTTTGCCTTTCTAATAAGGGACCTATCCCCTTTTTATAAAAGCCCCTTTTCACCTCTACTAAATGCCCCTATCAAAATCAGATGGGGGCCCGTTTTCCGTCGACAAATGCCCATTTCCTATTTTCATAAGTGCCCTTTTTCATCCCTGGTGAGTGCCTCTTTTAGAAGGTGTAAGAAGTGCCCCATTTTCACTTTTGATAATTACTCTTTTTACTTTAAAACGAGCTCCTTTTCTTTTCTGATAAGTGTCCCCTTTTCCTCTCATCATTAAACGCGCCCCTAATTTCAAGCGACTAACAGCACCGCAACCTAAAGCTCGCTCGCTCCGCTCGCTCGCGTTTATAGATGATATACTAATGTTACTTAACAAAGGTCTTTTCAGTATTCCGTTATTTAAAGGTACTATGTCCCATTTGCAGGCCAAAAAAATGAAAAAGTTAAATTCCAACTGCATTTAAAAGATAATACTAATTTAAAACTTCCCTAAAAAAAAGGTGGGGCTTGAAAATGTCTTCAAGTGGGAAAATAACGACTATTAGTTGTCAAATCGACTTTAGGGCTATAGAGCCCAAAAGTAATTGTCTTGATTTTCAGACAATTGTACCGAAGGGTCATACGTTTTATGCTGCACAAAGATTCAATCAGTTTAATCTTGGTCATCACAAGAAGTGAGTTATTGATGTAGACAAATGCTCATGTACCCTTTACAATTATTTTCATGTATGTTATTACCAAAGAAGAAAAAAGCCAGTCAGTCACTCAATAGTGTCTGACAGTGAAGTCTAGCAAGTAAACGGGTTTCCTTGCATAATTTGAATATGAGGACACTGCTAACGTTTAAATTTCACAGATAGGACAAACATGACATATTCATAATTCCTGCAAAGTTCTATAGCATTTGAGGTTGGCTGCAAAAGGGACATAGTACCTTTAAAAAGAATCTGCATATAACCCCATTAGGATAGGGTTTTTTGCTATTTATAAGATGTAATTTTTGTACTGCGACCTCACAAATCTTTAAAAAAAATCCTCGCTCCATTAGCTCGGTCGCAAATAATTTTTAGGACCATCACACTCAACTGCAAAGTATGATGCTTAAACTATATATTGCACTGTGTACAAAGTGAACAAATATTGAAATCATCCCTGATAATGTAATCACAATGTAAGGGTATGAACCAATGTCTAAAACATTGTATATTTTCGCTTTGAGATTTCCCTTTTACAGGTGCCCTTTTTTTATTGGTGCCCCCTCCCCCTCCAACTTCGGAATTCGCTTGGCCGCCCCTGGCCAAAATGATGCATTTCCCGCCCCTTGATCGCATATGAATTGTTGAAAACTCTTATCACTCGTTGGTAACTTGTTGGTAGATCGGTACAAGTCGTACACAAGTCATCGCAACTCATACCGAGCTCGCGTGACTCGTACATCCATCCGTAGGAAACTCGATAATGCGTCGTATGATAATTCATGCAAATGCCATACAAATTAGTAAATTTCAGGCGAGTTCACTCGAGTTTACGCGAGTTCAAGCTCGAGCCAGCTCGCCACAACTCGAGGCTCCAACTCGGCTAAGTGGGAGCCCTGCTTTAGCCGCTCGCACCGGTTGGTCTTATATCTCCATGGTTGGTCTTATTGCGTCTCACTGCATGTTCAATTGCAAATGAATTTTCACAAATTCTATCTTGATGTTTGTCACCGATCAACATTTGATCGCAACCTATTCAATAATATTTGATAGCCTAAATAGACTTACGCAGAACTAAGTTATTAGTATAAAAAGTAACTTATATTTAAGTAATCTTTATCATTCTCTCTCAGACGATGTTTACATCAGCATCTGAGCGTCTCTACCTTGCCAGCAAGCAGCACGTCTACTGGAAGCACATCAAGATACTGGTACCTAACACTTGGTCCATCCAGAGCGGGTATCAATTTGCTCGAACCGAAACGCTGGAGTCGGCCAACATTATCGTGCACAACTTTCCTGATGACGAGCCGTTTGTCGATAACTATGCAGGATGTGGGAAAGAAGGAAAGTGGATGCACATGACGCCGGACTATATTCTAAGCGAGACGTACCGAGAAGACAAGTTTGGTTCCACAGGTAGGTTACTTTCTTCTTTCTTTACGTGCAATGTCCTGAGACGTTGGCGACCATGGAATGCCACAAATCTCTGTCCCATATTCTAAGAAGTAATTCATTCTCCCCGAGATCAATTCCATTTTCGGAAATCCCACTCCTTGTGCAACTCATCCACAGAATCCTCCTTCTACCCATACTCCTCCTCCCCTCGATTGTTCCAGTCAGTGCAAGATTTTCCAAACTATTTTTTCGAATAACATGACCCAAGAAGCTCAGCTGTCGACCGCTTATATTATTCAGAAGCTTTCGTCCTGTTCCTACCATGGCAAATACCTCATTAATAGAAACTCTTTCTGTCCATGATATTCTTACCATCCTTCTCAGGAACCAAACTTCACAACTTTCCAGTCGCTTTCTTAGGTCTGATGTCAGGGTTCAAGCTTCATATCCATACATTAGAACTGGATACACGTAGTAGCTGAATCAGGCGCGTACGCAGGGGGGGGGAGGTTGGGGTTAAACCCCCCCCCCCCTTTGAGTTTTTTTCATGTGCATGTTTTTCGAGAACCCCCCCCCCCCCATGTCGATCGGTCAAATTTTCAAATTTGGGGACTAAACAAAAAAAAATGTCCTCTTATCCCCCCCACCCCCACCCCCACCAAACGACTGATTGAGTCGTTGCGAAATTTTTGGCCCGATTTTGAAATGTTAAACCCCCCCCCCCCCCCTCCCCCCTTGAAAAAATCTTATTCCTTAAAATGTTTTCTAACTTGCAGAAAGTTGATTTTGCAAGTGCAATCCTTCTCTTGATTTCTTGCTCGCCTCTTGCATCGTCTGTATTAAATTGTAGTCCCAAGGTAATTGACGGAGGCTTGCTTGATTTGATTGTTATTGATCTTAAGAGAGCATGGTATTCCTACCTTCTTTCAAATTACCATGCATTCCGTTTTCTTGTAATTTAGTGACAATCCTCTCTTGTCACCTTCTCTGGCGACAACATCTAAAAGTCGCTGCAGGTCCTTCTCTGATTCTGCGATTAATATAGTATCATCTGCATACCGTTTGTGATATTATGTCCTCCTACCCTCAATCCTCTTTCCGGTTCTAAGTTTCTTAGTATCAACTCACTGAAATAATTGAAGAGAACTGGAGACTAGGACACATCCTTGCCGAACCCCCCTAATAATGTTGATGTATTCACTTAATTCTGTTTCCACTCTAAAACATGCTGTTTGCTCCCAATACAGATTTTGCAATAACTGTACATCCTTTGTGTCTTGTTGAATCTTGGTTAAGTCTTCAAATAACTGATTGTGTCTTACTTTTTCGAAAACTTTCTTACAATCTATGAAACACATGAAGACGTCTTTCTGCATTTCTACGGCCCTTTCTGCTATAGACCGCAGAAAAAAAACAGCATTTCTAGTTCTAGCATCCTTTACAAAACCAAACTGCCCATTAATGATTTCTGGAGTTAGGTGATTCCTTGCTCTTTGAAGAAGAACTCTCAAGATGATCTTTGTGATATGGCTCATGAGGCTGATGATTATATGTTGCCCGCATTCCACCGCTCCAGGTTTTTTGGGAAGTGTAATAAATATTGATTTGCACAGGTCATCTGGAAACTTTCCATCATCATAGTTCTTATTGATGACTTAAGTTAGTTTCATTAAACCATAGTTCTCCAATGCCTCGACCATCTCCATCAGGACCAGCAGCTTTGTTCCTCTTCATCCTACTGATCGCTGACCTCACTTCTTAGAGCAGAATCTTAGGTCCTTGAACCGATCCTGCACAATGTGGAGGTTCTCTTCTTACACCGTCAAAAAACTCACCCTTGTACTCGGTCTGTTCAGTATCTCTTCCTTTTCAACCAGTACTGATCCATCCTTTGCCTTGTTGCATTTCAACTTGGAGCTCCGATGGTTACTATTGATGCAAATGTAAATATGCCATTGATGATATGAATAATAATGAAAGGAAGTAAAGAGAGAGCAAAAGAAGAAGAAAAATGAAAAAAGAAGAAGAAGAAAGAAGAAAAAAAGAAAACCAAGAATAATTTGAACCACTGGCTTACTAAAACTAATATTTTGGGGGATTATATCTCATTTACAGACAGAGGCATTGGCATGCTTTAACATGATTTGCAATGAGACTCTTTTTGTTTCTTTTCATCTTGTTAAAATTTAAACAGACAACGTGTTAGTTCGAAGTTGGAGCTATCTACGTTGGGGGTTATTCAAGGAGCACTATGATGGTAAGGGCGTTGGTGCCCCTGCCTATGACTCACCTGGTGTAGGTACTGAAGGGACCCGCTGTTCTCTCAAGATCAACGGAGGTGTTAAGAATGCTAAAGGAACTCCATGCCAAAGTAATCCTAACGGTGGTTATGATTCCGATTGCCGCTTCATTCCTGATAATAAAGAACAAACTGCAACCGCTTCATTGTTATTCGGAACGAATTATGCTCATATACATTCGGTAAGCCTGGCATCGTAAGTAAGCAGTAGATTTTCTAGAGGGAAATTAGAGGACTCGAACTCCCACCCCCCCCCCCCCCCCCTCCCTCATAAAAAATGCGCCTGGAATAAAAGGGTTGCTTCATTTTCCATGTTAGTACGTAGGAACTACGTCCTAAAAGCTTCGGTGACGGTAATCGAGTTAGGAATTTGCCTTGTCTTTATGATAGATTCATATTTACAGTTAAAAAACTTTAACAAATACACTTCATAACATATGTGTTTTTGCTTCTCGAAATACTCGATGAAACCGTTCTCATATAAATGTCAAGATACGACGCTTTTGCGAGGACAAAAATCGCTAAATCTTTTTTGTTATCACTGAAGAGCTTTTTATAGTTTGTTCAATAAATGTTTTAAAAAATTCTAAAATCTAATTGAGGGATTTAAACTGTATTTCAGATAAAGGAGTTTTGTAGTGACGATCAATCAGATCCAAATAACTTACACAATCCAGAAGCACCAAACTTGATGAATATTAAATGCAGTGGTGACAGTGCTTGGAAGGTAATGACAGAGCGAACAACAGACTTCACAGCAGGTATCCAACCTGTCTCAAACACCACTCCTACATTCGATGTCATCCAGCTATCTACAATCAGAAGTGTAGTACTTGTGCTCGACATTAGTGGTAGTATGAGCGTAAGTTGGTGATTGCTTGACATCAGTGGTAGTAGGAGGATAAGTTAGTGATTTCTTGACGTCAGTGGTAGTATGGGGGTAAGTTAGTGATTGCTTGACATCAGTGGTAGTATGAGGATAAGTTAGTGATTTTTTTTTGACGTCAGTGGTAGTATGGGGGTAAGTTAGTGATTTATTGACATGTTAATAGTGATAGTATGGGGGGAAGTTAGTGATTGCTTGACATCAGTGGTAGTATGGGGGTAAGTTAGTGATTGCCTGGCACTAGTGGTAGTATGGGGGTAAGTTAGTGATTTTTTTTCATTGTTTAGGATGCCTTTGCTTTCATTTTTTCTGTTCGGCTGGGATTGGATTATTCAAATTTAAATGTACTACTTTAGGTTCCTAAATCAATGTATGTGAAACGACCATGCCTCTTGAAAACCATGCTTACTTCACTAAATGGTCGAATGTTTATTTTAAAGAGACTTGATGTCAGGAACTACCACAATTGGTATGTGGTTTAGGACAACTAGCCCCTGGGCTATTGACCCCATGAAAATTACCCCCTGGAAAACTACCCCAAAGAGCCCCGCCCGCCCCCACAAGGACAATCATGGACAACCACCCCCAGAACCCCCCCCCCCCCCCCATGTTTATTTAAGGGGAAGTCCAGCCTGTTTATAGGTTGGTTTTAATAAAACCAGATTTTTTTCCGGGGGTAATTATCCTCGGGAAGGTAATCGTCCTAGGGGTTATTTTCCTGGGGGGGGGTAATTTTTCTTGGGGAAATTCTCCGGGGGGATTATTTCCCGTGAGGAATGTTATGGGGTAATTTTCCGGGGGGTAATTGTCCTTGGGGTAGTTTTCCGGGGGAATTGTCCTAGAACTGGTTGGCTTAAATCAATATAATTGCCCTAAAGAAAAAATATGTAACTCCAAAATATTGTTAAAAACATTGTTTTGAAAATATTTTCATTCTTTTATGTATTGGAATGTGTTAATTATCTTTATCAAAAGCGCCATTCTATTTTTATATAAAGGTATTTAGTCCTAGTTATATCATAGTGAAGTCAAGTAAAGTACCTTCATTTAATGTTAATGTGGTTAGAACCTGATCTAAATCAACATATAAATTAAGATATATTAAAAAATAGATTTACAAATCAAACGAAAATTCGACCGTTTTGTAGTGTATGTTGAGTGGTTGACATTGCAATAATTGTATAAGACTTGTACGTTCATGTGTACAGTAGGTTTTATATTGTAAGTGAAAGACAAAAAACAATGCTTTTAACAGAACTTATTCATACCGTGTCACGTCCTTATTTGTAGGGAAACAGGTTTGACAGGATGATCCAATCATCTACTGACTACATCATGAATGTTATTCCAGACGGAAGCAAGCTTGGAATCGTAGTCTTCGACACTGCATCTGAAATCAGAGCGAATCTCATCGATGTTACTGACAAGGCCTCGAGACAAAGTCTCGTCAATGCCTTGCCTCCATCCACTAAAAGCTCTACGTGTATTGGATGTGGAATACTGTCGGGCATTCAGGTACCGTGTAACTCTTTCATGTCACCGATCAGTTTCTAATCTGACAATGTTTAAAGTATATGATCGTTATAGTGGAAGTACCTGTGATTATGTTACCAAATGGAATTATCGCAGTCGATTCTCGTCGATCCACTTACAACCTGAAATGCTCTGTCTATCTCTCGGGTGTTCTGCCACAAGCAGGTCCACACTCAAGAGCCTTCTTTAGTTCCTTCTCCATTCCTCTCTATATTTAGCCTTCTTCATTATGTAATGTGATCTGTCATCTACAAAGCCTGACACCATCCAAATTATTAGTCTTCCTTTCCCCCCGTTTCCCTCAAGGTGTCCCCCATCGTATGATATAATAACCTATCCAGTGTTCCTCTGTTCCTCGTTTCTATTAGAGCCTTTTGAACTTCTGAGCTTGGTAGTGATGGACCCATGTCATCTTGGTCTACTTGAATGGCTTTAAGTTTTGCTTCTTTATCGTATAATTGCAATGACGAATATCGTCATTGCCTTGTTTTCGTTCACATTCTGCCCCTTTAATATTCTTCCCGTGTTTTCCATGTTTTCCGTCTTTTCGTTAGGAAATCGCATTCTTTTTGCACGTAGTGCTTGTTATTATTAGTTTATGCCCATTCCGCAAGTCCGTTTCCTTTCAAATTTCATAGGCATAGTTTCTAGCAATTCCATCAAGGTCACTATATTCTTTGATTTTCGAAATCACTCATGCATAACCGTCCAGGCGTCATTTTGTCCGTTTCTGGTCCGTTTTAAGGCCTTTCTTTCTTCCTTCCTATCTCCACTATTCTAGATCCTACAGAGTTCTAACAACTTCCTCTAAATAGTCCAAGATATGTTCTTTGATTCTGCGACGTATAACCTGACCTTCAAGAATCCATCTTTGCACTGCAAATTCAAATCCGAAGCCGACTCCGTCAAAAATCTCAAAAAATATTGAAAAATGGACCCCTAAAAATCAGAAATTGCCATAACTTTCTCATTTCCGTTTCGTCTCAATTTCTTACAGTATCTTTATCTCATAATTGCACAAAGCCATGCTGTATTTAAGCTCCTATGAATTTGCAAAAAATAAATAGCGCCCTCTAAAGTTCAGGGAATTGGCTTTCTTTCTGTGGCCATACATCCATCGTTTCTGACCAAACCCGTACCCTTTTTTTAAAGATTTAGATACGTGAAGATATGCCCTTTCCAGCCAAGTACAAAATTATATACCCTAACGCTGACCGAATTTAAGAAAATTGCCCTCAAAATTCGCCATTTTCAAGAAAACTGCGAAATAACTTCAACTTGCTCTAAAATGACGATCCTTTTACCTACGTCAATGAAACTTGGCATACACATGTATCAAAGCACGTGACAATGTTCTACTAAGTTCAGTAAAATTTGATGACGTCAGCGCAAATTTTGAGTGGACTATTGGGCTATTATTATTATTATTATTATTATTGCCCCAAATGATGAATTTTTTATACGTAACAGTCCGTTCAATGCACGCAATACATTGCACGCAGATGCCAATGTGCCAAACTGACCGCAATAGAGTGTTCTTTCAAATGATACCAAATACGTTACATGTTTTCACAGAAATATTTGAGTAAATTGCGTTTGAACAAGAGCTGCCTGTGATGAAAAGGAGGCAAAATGAGTTTTCGCCAACTTATAACACGTTTCGGCAATGACGTCATTTTTTCAGACTGCTTTTCGCCCCATTCCCGTCCTTTTGTTTCCTTGAAATATTGCAGTAATATTCCAAGTTGCAATACGCAGTGCACCTTGAAGCCGGATTTTTGAAAATCGTCAAGGGGGCCAATTAAGACGCCATTTTATACTCTGCATGATTGTGTTAGTATTGGCGACTGTTTGTACCACTGCACACGTCACCACTTGTTCATCATGCATTGCTTGCGAGCCCTCTCTATGTCCCTTCCTCTATTCCAATTCCCTTCAAACTTTGTAGGCATAGTCTCTGAAGCTTCCCTTCAGGGTCACTGTATTCTTGGTTCTCCGGAATTCCTCATCCGTGACCGTTCAGGCGCCATTTTGTCCGTTTCGGGCTGTTTTGGTAGCCTTTCTTTCGCCCTACCTATCTCCATTATCACAGAAGTTACATACTTCTTACAAACTGCTCTGGATAATCCGAGAGAAGCTCTTTCGTTTTAACCGTAGAAACACGTGCATCATTGGACGCACGTCGTTGTGACACGATTGCATGTCTAGTTCTCATATGTGTTTCTTTTGAATATTTGAGACATTAGTTAGCCCTTCTCCAGATTTGGAAACTATTCCTATACAAATCTTCTTTTTGTATCTGTTTCATTAAGTTCCCTGTCTTTGGTATACATCATGTCGCTTCGGCCTCTTTTTTCTAAAGCTTCAATCTTCTCACACTGCTCCCCAAGCCGCTTTTTTATGGCCATGCCTGTTTCCCTTAAGTTTGTTATTAAGTTATCGGTACTTCTATTTTCCTTCTCCTGTATTTTTCCCTCTACATTGTCTTCTTTCCTCCAACTTGTCGACATAGTTTTTTGTGTGTAGTTTTCTTTTTAAATACATTCATACAATGAAACAAACAATTAATTCATGTAACAACCATTTCTTTTTCTTTCTAGGTACTGGGATCATACGCGCAAGGTGGATACATCGTACTCCTCAGTGATGGCGGAGAGAATGTTTCTCCATTAATCGGCGATACGTATGCCGAGATTGAGAGCTCAGGAGTTATAATTGACACCATCACCATAAGCAACTCAGCTGACCAGCAGCTGGAAGATCTTTCCACCATGACTTCTGGTATCTCGACCTTCTGTTCTGATATAGGAACTGGGACATGTCTCATCCAGGCTTTCCAGAGCACTATAACTGAGAGACCTGGTGTTGGTGTTGGGACTGTTCCCATACAGGTATATATTTTAGCAAGGACTGCCAGTTTTTTATGCAGAGGAGTGGACGGGGAAGGAAGTGAAAGTGTAGGTTAAAGGGGAAGTCTATCCTGGTAATAATAGAAGCAGGACACATTTGAAGAACGGGTCAGTGAAAGTTTGAGCAAAATCCTATTGATAATAATAAAGTTATGATTTTTTAAAGTTGCGATCAATCAAACACTGGCAACTCCTTGACGTATCTAACAAGCCCCCCTCCCATTTCTTATAACAGAAAATGTCAAAACAATTATTTTCTTAGTTATTGATAACATAATAAATTGTTTCATACAAGGTTTGTATCCACTCTAATATATGCAATAATCATATTTAGCAAAATCCGATCAAAACAAGAAAGTTATGAATTTTCGAAGTTAAAAACAAATTGGCAATTCTCTGACAAATTTTGCGAACTCCCCACCCATTTGCTGCTTATTTAAAATTCATATGAATTCAGGATTTTGCTAGAAATGTTACTGACCTTATATCCCCCCCCCCCCCCCCATTGTCTTGCTTCCAGTCAAACCAGGGTTAGTAGCTGTATTCTCTTTAGAAGTTGATATAAAAAGTTATACAAAACAAAACAAAGCAAAAGGAACAAAAAGTAAACCAAAGAGCAATACATAACATTTGTGTTCTTTAACAGCTTCGTAATATATTACATGGGAAAAGATTAATTGAGACAAGTTATAACAAAGTATAGTTTATTACAAAAGCATCTATTCATAAATCAGCCATATATTGAAGTATGGCACATTGTTATGCTTGGATTCGTTCAGGATGCCATAGAGTTTTTATGTCACCAAACCCAGATAAAATAGAAAGGAAAGAATCACTACTCGATAGGATTGTGTGACTTATAGTTGTCATTTATTGTTTGATTGACTGCAGGATATTATTAATTTGTTGTTTGTTGTTTGTTTGTTTGATTGTTATTCTTGCATTCACAATAATCATTTGGCAGCGTGCAGGTATACATACATAGTATGATATATGAGAAGTACTTTTTTAATTAGTTTAGTGCTTTTTTATAATTATTAACTCACTATGAAAGAAAAGCTTGCATCGAATAAGTTTATTATTCAATCGTAATGTACTACATAAACTGAAACATGTTGATAACCTGACAAAAAAATCCGACTTCTCGTTTTGATAGTCCACATTCATCCAGAATTAATGATATATTCGGAATTTTCATCAAAGATCTACAGTTCCGAGATCGTCATCGAAAGATATCCTGGTCTTGAAGTCGTTCCGGTAATCATCGATGCCGCATTGGGTAACGAGACGGTGATCACTGTGATATGGACCACGAGTTCGTCGATATCGGTCGTAGTCACTGGACCAGACGGTACTCGCATTGATGAATATGATCAACGTTATAATATTGATACCAACACGAAGATTGTAACGATCAACCTACCGCTAGCGCAGGTGAACTTTTTGTTTACTGTCGTTTGATTTTGGTACTCACCAGTTATTATTCAAAAATCTTTCCACTATTGCAGTAAAGATGGAAGTAGAGGTACTATGGATTGAATATCGCCTCTTGTCATTCAATCTCACGAGAAATGGTTTGAACAACACATTCGAATGTTTAGAGTAAAATAAAAACTTGCCATTTTAAGAGGATTATGTATCCTTGTGCAGCTCATTGTTTTCTTTAATTTCTTGAATAATTTACTGACCAGAATTATTTTGGTGAATTGTTTTGCGTCGTGTCATCTATCCGCTGAACAAGGTCAATGCTGAAAATGTTCAATTCATTTCCATTATTGTATTTTCGATGTTCATAAGTTCCCTTGATAATGAATTTTAGGCTGGATGTCCCGTACCATCCTTCGGTAATCAATAATAATGTATCCATATTCATTTATAAAGCCTGGTAGATGGAATGTTACGATACACAACACCGGAGTAGCTACCGAGTACGCTAGTGTTGCAGTAACATCTAAACCAAGCACGGAGGAATACAAGCCAGTCACAGTCACTGTTCTACTAGGATCACGTGTAAGTTTACAAGGATTTGTCACAAATATATTCTTACAATAAAATGGTCGAAACATCTTTCAAGAAATCAACTCAAGGGCAGTTTCTGTCCCCGTTTGCATTCCCTACAGACATCATAATTGGATTACGTAACTTTTCATAATGTTCGTGCAAATATGATCGACAGCGTTATTGAAGATTTAACTTGGTTTATTTAAGTCTTTGCCGTCGTGTTATAATAAAAACAAGAACACAATTTATGCATAAATGTACATGTTAATGAAGTCTACCCATTCACAATTGGTAATGTAAGGATTCTACGTACTCATCCTCTCCTTGCAATTAGAAATGCTCTTTGTTTTTATAATAACATGTCTTTTTACCAACCATTAGTTAGGATAATGTTATTGTCGTTTTTACAATGAAGACATAAAACTATAAGTGTGAAGATTTCGTATATTGTCTAATACATTTATAGTGATTTGATCTCTTCGAATTTCATATTAAAGCATATTCATGTATACAAACAATATCATTAATGATACAGAAAACTTTCATTAGTTGGGGATAATGATAACATGTAGTTTTTAAGCTGGTAGAAGCTTAAAAACTACATAATATCATTAATTTTTCGATATTTCTCTTTTAGCTTTTTGATAATATCATATTGGTTTTAATATTTTCCCCACTTAGAAAAGTTCTCAAACATTTGTTTGATCGTGTTATTTCAAGCGATCTCCCTTTTGTTCATCATGTGATTTTTTAAATAAATTTAATGATGATGATTGGTTTGGCAGGAGGTGGACTTTTCTCACACTCCAGCACTAGCTATCTATACTCAGGTTCAACAAGATTACCAACCTGTTCTCAATGCTGACGTCACAGCTATCATTTCAGACGCCTCTTCCTCCACGACCACGATGATACTGCTTGATAACGGATCAGGTGAAACATCGTATCTCGTATTTTATTATAGTGTCATTAATATGATTAATAAATTAACTCACTAACTCACTTAACTCACTATTTTAAATTCACATTCCAATCACACATTAATGCTCTTTGGAACTCATTTTGGACGAAGTGGGTACAGGCGGGAAATTTACTTGATTCTAGATATTAATTTCGTCCATTTTTGTGCTTTAAAATTTCATTTTATATACCTCTCAGCAATCTGATCAAAACGAATGGATGGAGTATTCAGAGTTAGTTAAAAAGTCAATTTAGTTAATTCTATCACCCATATATTTAAACAAATAAAAATCAAAGCTGAAATATCTGATCGTACTAAATGGACGGAATTGTGCCTATTATAATCCCACTCATTTCTTCCTTCTGTTTTCTTTTTATTTTCGTACTTGGAGCGCAACAAGACATTGTCATGTATAGCATATTGTAGTTTAATATTACACTGCATTAAGCTTAATATATTTTTTCAGTGCAGATCGAAAGGGGAACAGAAAAACAAGCCCCTTTTATTGTTTATTTTGGGGGGCAGCTCCCGCAAAAATTATATTGATTTCTTTTATAATTTATTCACCTTCTTCTTCTTCTCCTTCTTTTTCCTTCTTCTTTTCCTTCTTCTTTTCCTATTCATTTCCCTTTTTCTTCTTTTTCTTCTTCTTCTCCGTCTTCTTCTTTTTTTTTCCTCTTTCTCTTTTTCACCTCCTGCTTGTCCTTCTGTTTCTTTTTCTTCTATTTTTTCTTCTCCTTATACTCTATGCATCCAACAGGCTCAGACTTATTCAAAGACGATGGTACGTATTCAGGGTTCTTTCTAAACTTCGCTTCTAATGGCAGATATAACGTCAAGGTCAATGTCCTCGGCTATGACGACGTAATCGAAGTCGCAGAGAAGGGAAGAAGTGAGTCTATTAAATACTCTAATTGATATAATATCTTTTACTCTTAAAGAAAGGAAATTAAATAAACTTACATATCTTTTTTTTATGCCTCCGTTACGAAGTAGCCGGAGGCATTATGTTTTCGGGTTGTCCGTCCGTACGTACGTCTGTACAGACACGTACGTCTGTACGTACGTCCCGTTCTCGTGATCGCGTTATCTGAAGAACCGATTGATGGATTCCTGCCACACTTTGGTCATGTATGTATCTTGCAGAGCCGATGAACTGATTAGATTTTGGGGTCACAAGGTCAAAGGTCAAAGGTCACAGGGCTCATTATGTATGCAAAAACAGCTCGTGATCGCGTTATCTGAAGAACCGATTGATGGATTCCTGCCAAGCTTTGGTCATGTATGTATCTTGCAGAGCCAATGAACTGATTAGATTTTGGGGTCACGAGGTCAAAGGCCAAAGGTCACAGGGCCCATTATGAATGCAAAAACAGCTCGTGATCGCGTTATCTCAAGAACCGATTGATGGATTCCTGCCAAACTTAGGTCATGTATGTTACTTGCAGAGCCAATGAACTGATTAGAGTTTGGGGTCACGAGGTCAAAGGTCAAAGGTCACAGGGCACATTATGTATGCAAAAAATAGCTTGTGATCGTACAATCATTAGAACAGATTGATGGATTCCTGCCAAACTTCATTTAAGTATCTTGCAGAGCCAATAAACTGAGTAGATTCTTGGTTCATAAGGTCAAAGGTCATTGGCTCATTATGTATGCAAAAATAGCTTGTGAACGCATTCTCATTAGAACTGACAGATGGATTACTATTTAACTCAGGACATCTTGCAGAGCCAATGAACTGAGTAGATTTTAGGGTCATGAGGTCAAAGATCAAAGGGTCATATATGTATATGAGAAATTGCTTGTAATCACGATATTCTGAGAACCTGTTCATGGATTACAATTGAACTGGAATTTTAAAAATTTCTTCTGTTTTGGTTTGTAAAATTGCTCTATGACGGAGGCATCATTTTCGACTGCGCGCAGTCGAAGTTCCATCTAGTTTCTCCATATTTTTCCCTCCACAGGGATTTTTTGATTTTCATTTTAAACAAATTAACAAATATATATTCAAGGTATACATTTATAACATAAATGAAATTGGCTTATCAAGATACAAGTATTGTTGAACTGTTGAGTCAACAGAAAACTAACAAATCTTCAATAATTCATTTCTGATATTCATGGAAAGAAAACAAAAATACAGAAAAGTATCATTATATGTAAACAAAAATTCCTGAATTGAAACCATTTTCTTGTGAATTTATTATTTCCACAGTTCGAATCTGCAAAGTAATTTATAATCGAAACTCTAATATTATCAAAATCGGGCAATTATTTCTTTATTTTGCAAGTATACACCATCTGTCGCATCACAATCAGTATACAATTTAATGCATAATTATTTGAACCCCTTAAACCAAATAATTTATCTTGTAATAAAAATGTATAAATCCAGTGATCCAACCTATCCCAAATATGTTTAACATGCGCACAATCACATGGCAGATGTATAACTGTTTCAATCTGTTCATTACAAAATTTATATTCTTTTCTTGGGACTAAATTCATTTTAAACAGTAGATCGTTCGTATATAATGTATGCGTTGCAAAACCTTAAACTGAAACCATCGTAAGCCCACATCAATGGTACAATTAAATCCAATAGTCAGAACAATATGTTTCCCAACTTTTATCATTCAGGTCGAAAATGCATTTTCGTTTTTAAAAAAACTTTTACATAGTCCTTTTCTTCTCTTTAAACTTAAATATGATTTTGGGGGCATATGAAAAGGAGACGTAGAGATAGCACATGGCAAGTGTAAGACAACTAGACCGAGGAGATCCTTACTTGACAAAAATCATTTTTTAAGAAATAATAATTTACAATTCCTTATTGTTTTATAAAAGAATGTGCCTGTGTGAGTGTTATGCTACATGTAGATGCCCCGATTTTCTAAACGAATGTTTCATGTTTGGTCTTTTATCGATCTAGTATAGATTTGCGTATTATTTTAAAAAAATACCCTTCTCCGAGTGGGCTCTTTGATATATTAGCCAAAAAAATGCATTCGATGGTGTCATCGTTTTATAACGTCATGTCATCTTTCTTCAATAAATGTATCATGAACTTATGAATATGAACATTAATACGGCAAATATTTCATTTTAGAAAGCTACTCTTTGTTGCCATCTGGCTCGAAGATTTCAAACTACTGATAACTGCAGACATATTCATTTATTTTCGGTGACACAACAAATGATTAGAAGTAGAATTGCCGTTATTTTTGCATACTAATATCCTCCCTCATAAATGTTTATCCAGGCAGACGATCAGCTCAAGTTGAGGTGGAGACCGAAGCAGAGCCATCTTTTATGCGTACAGCATCGGGAGGAGTCTTCAAAGTCCAGAGCTACACTCCAAACGCTCCCGATACCCTACCACCTTCTCGTATCCAGGACCTGGTGTATACATCTTTCTCCTATGACAACAGCACGGTGACCCTCACCTGGACTGCTGTAGGAGATGACATGGACCAAGGAACAGGTAAACTAATCTTCACCGTCTTTAGAACGTAATTATCTTGCCCGGTTCCATTTTTAGTAATTTGCATGTCAATTTAAACCATCAAATTTAAACATGACTTTGGCAATGAAGATGGAAAGGTGCACAGAAGAAAACATACTTCGAAATCTACTTTAGATTTAGCCACACAGCAGCATACCCAGTGCATTAACTCTTATCTCATCTCATCTCTTCTTTAAAACTACTTTTCAGTATTAAAAAAAAAACATTTGGTGATACATTCTAATTTTCATTGTACCTAAATGTGCTCATAGTCATTATTATTAAGCAATTTTTGTTTTCCTGCATTTATTTTAATTTCTTCCCCAAAGCCTACAGCTACGAACTCCGATATTCCACCAACTTCTCTGAGGTACGGGACAACTTCGACAACAGTACCAGGGTCACTCAGGATCAACTGGTATATGGGAACCTATCCCATATCAATCCATCAGGAGTTATTGAAATTGTTACTGTCACCCTCCCAGAGAAGGGGGAAGATATCGTGTATTACTTTGCTATTCGGGCTTGGGATGAGACTGGGAACGGAGGACAGTTGTCCAACATTGCGTCCTTGTCGATTCGTTTCATTCCATTACCTGTAACTTCCACAATTGACCCTACCGTGCTTGCTACTGATGCAGTGACAGAACTGACTACCAACCAAGGTACTCTAGAGACCACTGAGGAACCAACTGGACAAAAAAATCAAGCCTTAATCATTGGTTTGTCTTGTGCACTAGGCGCAGTATTCGTGGCGTGTGTCAGTTTAATGTACATCTGCTATCTGAAGCACAGTCTCACCCAGGTGAAGCCTACCACACCGCCTGAATCAACATGGACACAGCAAGATCTTCCTGATACAGAGATGGTACAACAGAATCCTACCTATGATAATTCTGCTCTATATACAGCTTGATTTACAAGTGTCACCTATCCTGTAGAACATATCGGATTGCTTCTAAAGCAAACATTCGTTTTTCTTCATCTTCATGTAATAGGGAATTGTAATATGGAATCCCCCAGTTAATGGAAGTTCTCTAGAATCGATCGCTGTAACTCAAGTAAAGTTTAGGTGTCGTGTGGCATATAAACTTTTTAATCAGTAATGAAAATATTTAGTCGCACGCAAAGAATAGTGTACGTTTTTTGATTACCTTGAATTTGAGAATTGTGTGTCGAGGACGCCTCGCACCCTCCTCCAAAAAGGTTTAAAAAAATACAAAATGACAAAATAAAGTAATTAACTCTTTAGGCATGATTAAGTAGAAAAATAAAGAATATATATTTTTAAACAAACTAAGCAGAATATATAATCGACTGCTACAAATTATTAAGTAACTTAGTAAATTATTTTGCTTTAGAGTTTTTTTTTTAATCATCTTCGTGTAAAATAACGATTACGACATGGAATAAATCAATGTGGTCCTATACTAGATTATCTGGTCAATGTGACAAACAACGTTCAAAACTTTTGAATTTCACTTCTAGAGAATTCAAGAAATGAGAAGATGTTGTTTCGTTGATAGCTACAGAGTATCGATCACGTAGTCATCGAGATCTAGTATTACCCTATAAACTGCTCTGTTCCATGTACAGTACCGTGCTGTACTGTGCTGTTCATTAGTAACTACTCTCAAGGTGCAGTGATGGAGAGCTCAATTAATAACTTTTGTTTCCCTTTTGAAAGAAAACAAATCCATCTGTATATTACAGAGTGTACTGTTGTGGTAGTAGCTTCATGGTTGATGCATACATGAATGATTACATAACTTTCATGAAACTTTTCAGGCTTCTTGTCATGGCTAGGGGCGCTCGGTCGCATGTTTCAGGACGGTGTTGCCATGCTGCTTGTCTGATGTAGAGTAATTATTGTGCTGGTGGGTGGATGTGTTGCATTGTTGTCCCGGGGCGGGTGATTGGGTACCCTTGGTACTGACGGGAAGTCTGAACTCAGTTGACTTCAAAATTTGGTACATTCGAGCTTAATCTGGTCATGCATACACTATAATTCCGATCTGGATTATTGTGCATCATTGTTAAGGTGTTGCCAATTTGAGATGTGTTTTCCAAATCATTAGCAGTGGTAATAACAATGTAATTGTGTAGCCAAATAGTCAAAAATATGTTTGTCTTCTATTAACTCCACAGTTCAATAAATATGTGTATCTTGAGTAGTCAGTTATATTTCAAATATAGATGTACATCACCTTGAATATATGCTTGTTGATTTGTTGCAAATGAAAATCAATAAAATCCCTGTGGAGTGAAAAATATGGAGAAAAAAAATAATAATCCTTTAAATGATGATGGACCAGCATCATGGTCAAAAGTGAAGCCAAAATTCGGTTTAATAATGAACTGATTAATAATCAGGTTTATGAACTGATTAAAAATTCGGTATAATTTCACTGATTGCCCACAAACCATGTTTTGTCGCATCTTTGCAACACCTATAAGAATTATTCAATACATGTTCGTTTTGATAGTTACGTTTTCCTTAAGTTATTTCGAATTCCTTTTCTGAGGCCGCCATCGTGATCAAGCTCTAGCTTAAGATGGCGGTCTCCTGCATTTTTAAATTTTGAAATGATTTGTCAACTACGTTGTTTTTTCAGTATAAATATTTAATTGATTTATATTTTGATATGATAATATATGTATTTTGAATTTTGTTTATGTTTTCATTATGTTGAAAAATGAAGATTTAAAAACAAACAGTTATATCATAATATTTACCCAGATGTTTATTTCCTAATTTAACCATCAATATCTCTCAGTTTCCTTTGTCACATATGCTCAGAAAAGGGCTACAGCCCTCTACACTCGGTTAATTATCTTTTATGTGTACATATAGCTTTTTGCCAATTCATTTTGAAATGTTTTATATGAATTCATTTCCAAAAATTTAGTCATCACGTATTATTTGTCAGATTCATGAGTCATACAATAATCATAAAAAGCTACAACGCTGTATACTCAGTTGTTTTCTATTACATGTATTTTAAGGTTTTCCGTAGTTCATGTTTTAAAATGTATCAACATTTAAAAGAATAAAACATTTCAACATTATTCTCTTTGTTATTATCATTATTATCATTGATGTTGTTGAATTTATTGTTATTATCGTTGTTGGTTTGTTGATGTTGTTGTTGTTTTGTTGGATACATGAGGAGGCCGATCCAAGATTCTTGGCCAGGAAGTATACGATTTCGGGAATCCCGTCCCTTCCCAAACTCCGAAAAGGGTGGATGGGACTGCCGGCCCTTTTTTCTGGATAGGGGCCGCGTCTGTTTGTCAGAAACTATAGTTGTTCGCCTATCACTATGTTGTGTACACAAAGACCCTTATTTCGCGCAATTTAGACAGGTGGGAGTTGGCCCCGTGGTCAGCTCTGTGTATGCATCTCTAATGAACCGACTGTGACACTGCCCGGCTCGAAACTCTTACTGTTTTGATCTTTTCTTAAGTTTCATACATTGTCAATGACACAAAATATAATCACTTATCTTACCTCCCTCTCCCCCTTTATCTCTCTCTCTCTCTCTCTCTCTCTCTCTCTCTCTCACACCCCTCTCTTTCTCTTTCTCTCTCTCTCTCCCTCTCTCTCTCTCTCTCTCTCTCTCTCTATCTATCTATCTCTCTTTTTATGTTTCAGTGTCACGCTCAGAAATTGGGGTAAAAAAAGAAGAAAAGATTCCATCTTTATGACCAACAATGTAGATTTCTGTCTTGCCAAAGGGCACTATTGAACCCACGGGTTAGATTTGCACGCTTTATTGTAAAAGGTGATAATTATATAATGAATGTATTCATAGCAGCAACTATTATATGATTTATTTTTTAGTTTATGAATACCGTGATTGTTTGAGTGGTGTAGAAATTGATACAAAGTTTAATTGACGTTTAGGCTTTTTTAATTTCAAATGTTGAACATTCATATTTAGAACAAACAAAAACCTACTAACTAAAATAACAAGAATGATGTAGTAATAATAATAATGATTGATAATAATATTAATAATAATAAGAGTGGGTTCTTGTATAGCGCCCATGTCTTCCAGACTTGACAACACGGCTACCATTACAGCGCTCTAGCGTTTCAAGGAATTAAATTCTGCCAGGTACCCATTTACCTCACCTGGGTCAAGCGTGAGGTTATGTAAATCAATTTCTTGCCAAAGGCTATTAGTGCCATGGCGGGACTCGAACCGCGAACCATGTGATCCACTGTCCGGTGGCATATCCACTAGACCACGACACCTTCACAACATAAACGATAAAAGCTTATGTATTACACGGATGAATTCAACCTCAATAATTGTAAAAACCAACTTTGTAAAACAAATGATTGTAAAACACCAGCGCATCACACTTATTTTACCCATGAGAGGCACGGGGTTTACATTTCTTCAGTTCGTTATCCCCTCTCAGGCGCAGGTGACGCCAGATACTTGGTAATGATATATTTCGTATGGGGTGTTGTGATCTAGTGGATAAGTCGTTGGACTATGGATCACAGGGTCCGCGGTTCGAGTCCCGACACGGCACTAATGTCCTTCGGAAAGATATTAATCTACATTTGCCACTCTCCGCCCAGGTTTCAAATGGGTACCGGAAGGAAGGACTTCTTTGAATGCTGTGAGCGCCGATATCGGCTGCCTAGCAGAGCCGGGATAATAGTTGGAGCGCCTTGAGCACCATGCATGGTGGAAAAGTGCGCTATTTAAATCTCCAATATTATATATTATTTTTATTACTATTTATGTTTTTTATTCATTAAAATTCAAAAGCACATATATTGTTCAAAGTTACAAAATAAGAGTTAACGTGGTATAAACAAAACACTAAACATGCTCACAAACATACATATTAATCATTACAGATAATTTTTATGCAATACCTTCAGGGAGAGAAGCACAAATACAAATGATAGTTTAGCAAGTAAAACAAAATGTATACACAATGTATATTAGCTTATTTGAACAATCCACGCCCCCCCCCCCCCCACCACGTCCCAATCAGGAGTAAAGCGTCACCGCCCATGTCACTGCGCATAACCAAGAAAAACACACTCACATACACGCGCACACGCGCACACGCAGTGACGCACACACGCAAGCATATTATACAAGCAACTCACTCGCACAAAATACCCACATGTTGACGTTGCATCATACTCATACATGACTATGCGCAATGGCACTGATTACTGACACCTATCCACTGAACTGTAGAAATGCAACTCAAACTTATAAGGAATAATAATGATGATCGAATTGCCATTGATATGATTTTCCATACATTCTAATTATAGTCACTTCAGAAACATTACCATTTAAGTAAGAATGTGACAACAGACTTAACTGGGTTAGGATTGATACAAAAACATTACGGAAGTTGAAGTAATACACCTTAAGAAAGCAAATAAACAAGGGGAGTGCCATTTTAAAGAACACACCATCATGTACAGAATAGATGATAACTGTAGTTATACATAACGTATGTCGTTCAATTCGTGAATTACGGTTAACATAAACTAATACAGCATCTATTCACATACTTTTTTCACGTCTGGGGAGATAAAAGCCCGACATTCGATGTGTCGATAACGAAGACTGTTTGGACTGTTTACAGGGTGACAAGCGTCGATAATTATACCAATACCCAAATATAGTGATGTCTATTATTTGTTTTTATAAAGTGTTTACGTGGATCATTGTCATTTGGGTATATCATTCTCATCTCAAAGTCCATAGATCTAAAGTCGACTGACTAATTTAGATCTTGGCGATCAACCAGCTATCTTGATAACCCTCATTAGCACTTTCTTATGACTGGTTACGTGTAAGGGAACAAAATATTCCCCGGTCAAATGTCCTCTCTCGACTACTCATTTGATCAGGATCCACTTCATCA